CCCCCCAGGCCCGACCTTTTTGGGTAGAACAGTGACCATCAGATACACGTTTCAGGATCATTGCTCTCGCTACAGTGGAGAACAGATAGGAAGAAGGTAAGGATGGATGCGGAGAGAGTGGTTAGGAAACCTATGGAAGATTCGCGATGGTGGATGAAGATGGCTCGTTTAGGATGGTGAGCGTACACTGTGATGAAGGGATCTATTTGAAATGAACTTCAGAAGTAGAACTGGCAGGTGATGGGCGTCAAGAATGGCTTCCAGGTTATTGGCATGGACAACTGAATGGATAGTGGTGACATTTTCTGAGATGGGAAATACTGTAGCATCCGGATCTGGGGTGGGCCGTATTTCTAATGGTTTACAAAGAGTAGAGAGAAAAGACCTCAACCAAGCCTCTGTCCCACTGCCAAATGGGTCTACTCTTGGGGCAAATTTCACGATCTCCCTTTAACTGTGGCTGCCAAGTGCTAAGACTCAGGGCAAAGTCGAGGGCGGGCCATGTGGCGCGGTGGATCTTCTTTGGAGTCAAGCAGAGCCCAGTCCGAAGGTTCGCGACTCGTCCTACACTCACCTTGCTGCTAAGATCCTCCTTGTGCGGGGTCGAGTTATCTGCAGAGGACAGCGCAGCGCCGTCCTCGGGTTGAGACCCACGGCCGGGCATCTCCACAGAGCACGGTGAACTCAGGATACGGCACCCCACTAGCTCCCACTACCCAACAGGCTCCAATTCAGCGCATGCGCGCTCCCAGCGGCCCCCCACCCCCTTCCTTTCACTTTCCCATCAGTCTTACCGATAGCGGCTGCGCATTTGCTAGAGCGCCTGCGCAAACCCGCTCTGTCTTGGGAGCAGCTGTGCGCGTGCGCACAGTTGCTTAGGACGTTCGTGAAATGGGAGTGGTATCTGAACGGTGCCCTAGCGGATCTGACGTGGAAAAGCTCCTGTGGTCACCACACGAGCTGGAATCCAGTGGATTGTGAGTTATATGCGCCCCCCAGTGGTAAATATAAAGAATAGAAGAGCGGTAAAAATACCACTTCCTATTTATTATCTAGGCAAAGAAGGATATGAAACTAGGCATAGATTTAATAGATAACATTTTTGGCAACGGAACCCTACAGACTTGGTAAAATTTTTGCTAACTACTTATTAGGGTTAAAAGATAAATATAGGATGCCTAGTTAAATATAAATTTCTGATAAATGAATAAATTTTTAGTATAAGTATGTTGTATGCAATATTTACAGTATCTCCTATGAGAAAAATTATCCAAACGTTGTAAACAGGCAAGAGATTAAGAGGTGTTCTTTAATATCTTTTCTGAACGTTATTTTCTATTGACTGGGCTATTTTACAATTATGCAGGAGCAGAGGTTAACTTGTAAATTTTGTGGCAGAGATGCAAATAATTTCTATCTGGCGGACCAGATAATGCCACAGGTTGTGATTGATTGTTCTGTAAGAAATTAATCAGTTTTACATCTAACTCTGCAGTTAATAATGATTTTTTATTAATATATGCCTAATTTTTAATAAACTGTTGTTTTGACATCTGTTCCTTCATTAATTGGATTGAATAAAATGAATAAAATTGAGTAATATGACATATGTTCATATTATACTTGCATGAGAGACATGATTTTGTATATTTGAAAATTATACTTCAACATAGGAGCTCTCAAGCTTCCATGGAGATGCCAACTGATGTGTACTCAACTGAGGGAGTGAAATTGTATGGCTAAGGAAGTGCACCTCAGAGTTATTTAGGCCCAGGCGTATCTTTTATTGGCTCTTAGAGTAAATTCAAAGTGGTTATAGAACTAAGTTAACTGTCTACTTTTACTTTTTACTGATTTTTAAAAATTTGTTTTTGTTTCTAATTAATGCATGTCTGATAAGTTATTATACATTGGTAGCAGCAGTGATTGGGAATTTGATTTTATGGTATAAACATTTGAAGATACCTGTTGCATGATGGAGATCTAGTCTCTATTAGAAGAGAGATGAAAGAGAATCCAGTTTTATGGTCTTTTTGTCTTTTGTGAGCTCAAATTAATTAAGAACTTTGTGCCCACTGGGAAATAGAACTGCTTTTTGAGATCTGGGCTGGTGAAGGTTTGTATTTCTGTTTTGCTTTCAACCTGGGATTGAGATGTAAAACTGAAGCTATAAGCTTTCTATGTGTACATGTGTCTATATTTCAGAATAGCCTTTCTATGTTGCTGAGTGTAAAATGTTTTCATACTTCTGGAGAGTATTAATAAATTCCATTATAATGTCTCTTATATTAAAGAAATTCTGGTTCCATACAAATTTTAGGACTGTTTGTTCTAGCTCTATGAAAAATGCTGGTGGTATTTTGATACAGATTGCATTAAATGTGTAGATTGCTTTGAGTAGTATAGACATTTTAACACTATTTGTTCTTCCAATCCATGGGCATGGAATGTTTTTCCATTTTTTTGTGTCTTCTTCAATTTCTTTCCTAAGTGTTCTATAGTTTACAAGGTACAGAACGTTTACCTCTTAAGTTAGGTTTATTCCTAGGTATTTTATAGTTTTTGGTACAATTGTAAATCTTATGGATTTTGGTGTGATTTCTCTTTCTGCTCCTTTATTATTGGTGTATATAGAAATGCAATATATTTCTGTAATTGATTTTGCATCCTGTGACTTTGCTGAATTTGTGTATCAGTTTTAGCAACTTTTTGGTGGAATCTCAGTCAATAGCCAAAGCAATCTTGAAAAAGCAAAGCAAAGCTGGAGACATCAAATTTCAGACTTCAAGCTACATTATAAAGCTATAGTTATCAAGATGGTATGGTACTGGCACAAAAACAGACACATAGATCAATGGAACAGGCTAGAAAACCAAGAAATGGACCCACAACTATATGGTCAACTAATCTTTGACAAAGCAGGAAAGAATATCCAGTGGAAAAAATACAGTCTCTTCAACAAATGGTGTTGGGAAAACTAGACAGCTACATGCAAAAGAATGAAGCTGGATTACTTTCATATACCATACACAAAAATGAATTCAAAATAGGTGAAAGACCTAAATGTGAGACAGGAAACCATCAAAATCCTAGAGGAGAACACAGGCAGCAACCTCTTTGACCTTGGCTGTAGCGACTTCTTATTAGACATGTTTCTGGAGGCAAGGAAAACAAAGCAAAAATGAACTATTAGGACCTTATCAAGATAAGAAATTTTGCACAGCAAAGGAAACAGTCAACAAAACTAAAAGGCAGCCTACAGAATGGGAGAAGATACTTGCAAATGATACAGCTGATAAAGGGTTAGTATCCAAAATCTATAAAGAACTTATCAAACTCAACACCCAAAAAACAAATAATCCAGTTAAGAAATGAGTGGAAGACATGAACACTTTTACAAAGAAGACATCCAAATGGCTAACAGACACATGAAAAGATGGTCAACATAATTCATCATCAGTGAAATACAAATCAAAACCAGGAGGAGACAGCACCTCACACCTGTCAAAATGGCTAAAATTAACAACATGGGAAACAACAGATGTTGGTGAGGATGTGGAGAAAGGAGAACCCTCTTGCATTGTTGGTGGGAACAGAAACTGGTGCAGCCACTCTGGAAAACAGTATGGAGGTTCCTCAAAAAGTGAAAAATAGAACTGCCCTATGATTCAGCAATTTCACTACTATGTATTTACCCAAAGGATACAAAAATTTTGATTTGAAGAGGCACATGCACCCTGATATTTATAACAGCATTATTAACAATGGCCACATTATGGAAAGAGCCTAAATGGCCATTGACTAATGAATTCATAAAGGAGATATGGTACACACACACACACACACACACACACACACACACACACACGCACGCACACTGGAATATTACTCAGCTATCAAAAAGAATGAAATCTTGCCATTTGCAATGACATGGATGGAGGTAGGGTGTATTATGCTAAGTGAAATAAGTCAGTCAGAGAAATATAAATACCATATGATTTCACTCATATGTGGAATTTAAGAAATGAAACAGATTAACATAGGGGAAGGGGAAAAAAGTTTTGAGGGCATATTCACAAGATAATAGTTTTTAAAATTTTTTAATGTTTGCTTGTTTTTGAGAGAAAGAGACAGAGCATGAGCAGGGGAGGATCAGAGAGAGAGGGAGACACAGAATAAGAAGCAAGCTCCAGGTTCTGAGCTGTCAGCACAGAGCCTGATGTGGGGCTCAAACCCATGGACCATAAGATCATGACCTGAGCCAAAGTCGGACACTTAACCAACTGAACCACCCAGGTGCTCCAGATAATAGTTTTTAAAATTTTTATTACCAAATATTATATTAATTAAAAACTGAAATTTGGCATTCTTTTAACTCACCTCCTGGCTGGTTCTCCAACACTTTTAGGGTTTAATACAGCCGAGATGGTGGGAACCTGGGAACACACCTTTCCTGACACATGGGATGTGATTTTAATTTGTGCTTGCAGGAAAAAGTGAAGCTTTTCTATAATGCTAGAAACCAAGTTCTCAGTATATTGGTCTTCTTTGTACTCCACCTTCTATGGCAGTGGCTGGCAGAGTAAAAGTTCTGGTTCAGGTTTGAGTTTACTCTTTGACTCAATTATTTCCATACTGAGTAGTCAGAAATACTGCTGATTGGTCTACAGCTGCTCACTCCCTTTTGGTGGTGGATTGTTGCTTATGGCTCTGCCTGGTTTGGATATTTCTGTTGTTTTGGTTTCGTTGTTGTGTGTGTTCTATTCCTGGGGGCCACTTAAGATGACCTACTACTAAACAAAGTGGTGATAGTTATATTAGTATGGTGCTAAACTGCTTTCAAAGTTCTTTCACATTTTATCTTATTTTTTCATGTATATCCAGTCGTGTCTATTTCCCCCCTCAGCTGCTATAATTACTGCATTGCTTGAAATCACACTTTGGGGTTACCTGTTATCATTTGTCTTGCCTGACTGGTTCAGGACTATCTGTATCTCACCATACAACCAGCAAGGCTGTTCTTCCTTCATTTAAGTCCATTGCTGTCATGTATCTACTTAACAAGATAATTTCATGTTTATTAATGCTATTCTCTTCCTCTGATGCTACATTCTTAATATATTTTATTCCATTTAACAATACATAGTTCACTGTTGACTATTTTATGAAAGTGAGGTGTATTATTACCTTGTCTTCCAAGGTTTTGAATGAATAGTGCCCCCAACCACTGTTTTTCTTTGCTTTCTTGGTATATTATAACACACATTTCTAGCCACATAAGTCTCCTTTCTGTCTCTCCACAATGAGGTGTGGAATAGTGCTGGTGGTGGGTGCCCTTCTAACTATACAAAGTCACCTCAAAATTTTGTTCATATTGCATACAGATATCTCAGTCCTTTCCCTATATTTACTGAAACAAATCTTTAGGAATGGGATATGGTTGTCTGCTGCATAACATAGTGTTTACCATTTACCCTATAACCCAAAGGGCTGAGCTTGAATTTAGGCTTATATTTATTAGATGTGTGACTTTGGGTAAATAAGTCATTAACCCTTCAAGCCTCAGTTTCCTAATCTGTAGAATGGGAATAATAATAATGCCTAACTCAAAGGGTTGTTATGAGGATTGAATGAGTTAATGTTTGTCAGGTGTTTAAAATAGTTTAAGACACATAGTAAGCACTATTTAAGTGTGTGTTAAAAGGGTAAGTTAGAAG